TGTCCCACCAGAGTGCAACTACATGATCTAAAGCTCTATAGCGCGGGTAAACGAAGAGTTGCTTTAGCGCATGAGAAGAATAAGAAAACTCTGACGTTAACTAGTGAGACAAGGCCTTGCCGCATGTTGACATGAATGGACAATCAGGACAATTGACCGCTAATACACAGTTTTTGGGCAGACTTTTAACCTTTCTTATTTGAAATAATTGGCCCAACAACCAAGGCATCGAGTCTTGGAATTTAGTTTTTCGCATATAATTTTTGAAAATCAACACGATGAAAACCCAAATTGGCTGACATTAAGTTATGAAAATATTTCATCTAGATCCAGACTTGTTAAGTAGTTAAGATTCTGATAAAGCTTAAGTAAAAACTAAGGAAAGTAGTACTAGTAACAATTCCTGGGAATCTGAGCAACGCACTTATAAAGTTTTACCTTGTATTACTAATTACATGTAATAATTACATGTACTAATTACATGTACTAATAGTAATTACATATTACTAATTACATATTACTAATTACATGAACTCAATGCCAGTATTATTATACTAATCACTTTATAGTTGGGTTAGTACGTTAGACGTCGCAAAGGTGTTTAAAATATATTTCACCGTTGCTGAAAGTGTCGGGAAACCGCTGCGATAAGCTTTGTAGATAAGTATAATATGAAATATTAGTATTGTAAACGAGTTAATGAATAAGCTAACTCGAAAATAACAACAATGATAAGCGACATTTAAGACATAAAGTGTTAAAAACTACAAATTATATGACTGATAACTGCTGTTGGTACGCCATGAAACTGTGACTGATATTAACAAGACATACCGGTAGTAACACGGTTTTTACACTTGATAACCAGAGTGATTACAGCACTTCTCGGGCTTCATTCCCACAGACAAAATGCTTGGTCAAACTCTCGGCTGTAAAAAAAAGAAAAACATCTGCTTTCCTCTAATTATTACTTGTAGGGTAATTCAGTTGTGGTAGGTTTATAATAGGTGAATATATTAGTACTTCTATTAATTGCAGACTGTGTGAATAAAAATATATAACATGTCATTTGTATAACCACGTACTCAGATCTTTGAATCCTTACAATTACGAGACCTCTGTGTGTTTTTAAACATTAATGTAAAGCAATTCCCTGATAGAGATAACGAACAAAATTGAAGGGTGATGGAACCTGACAGCTTCATCTGCAAAAAGGACTGTTTTGGTAATACATTTACAGTTTTACATTTACAGTTTTGTAATACATATTCATGATAATTAAGCACCAAAAGGTCTTCAAGAGCGTCACCAAAAGTTCCTTGCACTTGTTGGTCATGGGCACGCGCACAATCTCGGATTTAATATTCGTTTGCTTTGCGTTTATTTAACAATTGAAACTATTTGTCTTGGAACTGGAAGAAGCAAGCAACATATTAACAATTCGATCCTTTAATTAGCACTCACGACAAAAATGATCTCTGAACTTGCTATGCTAGACTTATAGATTACATTAAACTAATGGCTTGCTATAAAATGTAATAGTATATCTTGTTATATCAATCTGAACCATCAAAATTTAAAGTAGATCATGGGTTGAAAGTCTAATCGTACCAATTATCTTCCAGTGGTAAAATTTCAGTTTCATTATACAGTATACGAGATCTTTAATGGCAACTTGACATAAATAAATTAAATCCATAGGATTCTGAAAACGAAGGGAAGCTTTGAAAATCTAAACTTGGACTGAATACAGTCAAGTGTGATAAAATGTTAGGACGGGTTCAATCTAGCAAATAAAGAACAGCACACCGGAATTAGTGTGATACAGATAGCATGTGGTACTGACAGTCAAACTTTTAAAAAAGATAACGCTCGGGTTTACAGACGTTCAGTGCACAATACCCCACAATACCCCAAAATACCACACAATACCCCACATTACCCCACAATACCCCACAATACTCCACAATACCCACTGCCCTACCACACAGTCATATAAAACGTAGCATGTGGATTGTGGCTCACTGGCTCAGTTACCGGAGTGTTCGCAAATGGACAGTGGACCATGGTATAGTCTTGTTAAATATGCATAGATGCATATGAGAATTAGCAAACCTTTGTAGCCCCGTTGGCCGTTACCCGCTTCAAAAGATAACTATGATGGCCTAACAATTAGATTCCTAAACTTGCACCAGGAAATATTGTCGATTGTGCTATATGGAACAATACTTCCCTAATTTAAAACACCTGCAGTGCTCTTGTTACATTATTAATATTAGTATTACTATTACATAATATATAAATAATATAAGGTAAATTGTCGGTAGCAATCTCGCAACTTCTCGTAACGTCAGTTGCTATAGCCTATACGTGAGCAGGAAAGATAGCGGCCTCCAAAATAAAACATTCTTCTTTGTAACTTACAAGAATATTTGGTCCCCCCCGCCCGCCTTACATCTAAAGTAAACTTAAATACACGACAGGGTGAATGGGAACAAATAAATATTACTGACCAAATATAGAATAATAATATTTTTCAATCATTTCTCAGCCGAATTTTAGAAGCTATGATTAATTACGCCCGTTGTCACTAGTACTGCAGGTCGTGTGATTGATTTAATATTCATGTACGGGGCCCACACTAGCAAAACCTGAAAGTATGTCTCAAGATCTGATGCCGGATAAAAAGGCTACATACTGGGTCCTTAATAGCATGGGATAACAGAGTGATTTCAAAAATAGGAAATTTCAAATCTATTCGGATACCTTTTTTTAGTTTTTTGACATTTAGAAATACAACCAGCGGTCGGAAATTTCAAAAATTTTAGGAAAATGTTAAATTTTTTGACATTTAATCAAAGGTCGGATAAAAGTTGGAGTTGTTGTTATCACTTGTTTCTGAACCAGTAGAATACTGCCAATCTGTCATGACAATTACGTTTTTACAGTCCTAGTCGATCACATTCCGAATATAAAACAACGATGTTTTGGAAAAAGTGAGAAATAAAATTTACAGTGTGCAGTGGCTACGGAAACCTCAAAATTATTACTTGAGGTTGAAGTCGGCTGTTATGTTTAAATAGAAATGCAATTAGACATAAATCAGACGTGTTCCTTGGACAAATTTAATTTTTGTATCAAAATTATGGAATTTGACACAATGAGCAGTCTAAATTGTGACACAAAAGATATTTTTTTCCCACTAGAAAGTTATTTCTTTTCTTGTTTTATTAAAACAGAGAATACCACCCATACGGCATACATGAACACACTAGGTAGCATCAAATTTAAACTTCGTATTTTAAAAGTTATTGTGAGACTGGCTGTGAGACAGTATGTGAGTATTCAACTAAGGTGTGCCATTTCTGATTTCATGACCCTCCTACTACCCACCATCCTTGACCCTTTACACCAAAAGTCGTTAATTGGTACCCTGGTTAATGGATACTCAGGAGCTCAACAACACACAGAAGATACTACCGACGACTGGGGTCAACAAGAGAACTTCAAATATCCCGATATGGGGAGAAACAGGAAGATATCCCCTTGGAATACAACTGAGTAAGCTCTTTTTTGACTTCCACAACAGGCTCGTCGTCCTTGACAGAAAAAACTCACCACAGATAGTTCGCCATGCTTTCGTAGAGCAAAGAAACCTAGAGGCTAGAGCTGACCTGGTTCCGAACATCGAGAGCGCTGACCGACGCATTTGACCCAGGAGCAATTAAACGAACAATTGTCTCAACTCGTTCGGAGTAGACTGAGAAATTAGTTCCAACAAAAATGGGAAAAAGCTCGACTTGAAAACAAAAAGCTTGCATTCTACAACGAAGTCAAAAGCGGCTTTTGATTAGAACCATACCTATCTCTACCCAATCACAAGAAAACCCGATGTACCACGTGGCTGAGGACAAGCTCCCACAAACTTAATATCGAGACGGGGCGATATGGCTGGAAAAATTCAAGCATCTTCTACAGAGCTTGCCACTTCTGCTGCAGCTCAGACAGAATCACCATAGACCTCCTGAACGAGCTCCCTTTTAGTGACATCATAAAAGAAGACGAAGTCTATTTGCTTAAAGAATGTCCTGTCTACAAGAAGATCAGACAAAGAAACAGCACAGACCTTCACAACATGTTCACAAATAGTCAATTCAGTAAATTATTTAATGAGGATTACATTCTTGAGACCAGAAATTTTGTTTATAATCTATTTCGTGAAAGATTTCCTAAAAGTAACCTATGACTTATTATCCATATTCCGTGCACACTTTGAAACCATTTATTTATTTATCTACGATATTATGTTTTTTTGTTTGGTTGAATAACTTTCATTTAACTGATTGGGATCTGACACATGTAATTTTGTAATGATCTTTCTAATTTCTAATTTCTAATTTCTAATTTCTAATTTCTAATTTCTAATTTCTAATTTCTAATTTCTAATTTCTAATTTCTAATTTCTAATTTCTAATTTCTAATTTCTAATTTCTAATTTCTAATTTCTAATTTCTTATTTCTAATTTCTAATTTCTAATTTCTAATTTCTAATTTCTAATTTCTAATTTCTAATTTCTAATTTCTAATTTCTAATTTCTAATTTCTAATTTCTAATTTCTAATTTCTAATTTCTAATTTCTAATTTCTAATTTCTAATTTCTAATTTCTAATTTCTAATTTCTAATTTCTAATTTCTAATTTCTAATTTCTAATTTCTAATTTCTAATTTCTAATTTCTAATTTCTAATTTCTAATTCTAATACCTGCCATAATTATAGAGTCTAGCGAACTCTACCCACAGGTTAGTCAGGCAGTGGCTCACACTCTGATGACATCTCTTTTTGGAGATTTTCGGACTCTCACACTACATAGTTGAGTGTGTACCACAACCTAGCACCCTGCCTAAACGTTCGGAACTCCCGGACCTATATACTATGTGGCAAGCCTGCTCCTTCTTAACCTCTTTTATTCAATCCATGTGATCACAGTAAACAAAATTTGAATTATTGAAGAAAATTTCAACTTCATTTACATTTACAATTAAATTTACACGTTAAAAGTTTGACTTTCATAAAAACAATCGAAAGAATTTCACGAAACTTCAATCTTCGAAAGTACTAACATTTTCAAATGAAAAGTTAAATTCAAGAGTTCAAAAACTAAACAAATATCTTAAATTCAGAAATCTATCACGATAACCATATTAAGCACATAATTTACGTTTGATCCATCGGATAAATAAAATTTTGAGTGGACAAATGACCACTTTATGAAAATCCCACCACATTTAGTCCGCTAAATTGACTACAACTTCTCTCACGAATGGCCATATTGTTACAAGAAAAACAAAGATTATTGAAAAAGAAATGAAAATAAATCTACTGTCATAAGTGTTAAACTTTAACGAAAGTATCAAAATATGATCGCGATTAAATTAATTGTAAACTGACATATAAACTACCCCCAACATGTTCGTCACATAAAAAATAGGTACGTAGCATCGTTTTAAAGGCGGAATTCATTTTTCTTTCCAAGCGAAGCCATTGAAATGGTTTGAAATTAACCCTCTATTTTAATTTATAGCTTTTAAGCGGTTTTTGGGTTCTAAAACTTGGTAACGGCAGCAATAAAGTCAACATCAAGATATTCTCGCACCCATTCATTTTAATTGTGCATTATAATGTATGACTAATTGAGTCTTGATTTTATTTTTCTGTGATTGACTAAATTCAGTTCAACTGAATTGCTGGGCTTCATACACAGTTAAAAATTATTCTTGTCAGCAATATGCCATTTCATATACTCCTCAACCAAATTATTGCGGTAAATTTCCGAAATCATTCTAAACAAATAGGCAACATCCGCTCAAAAGCCGTACCCAAGCTTCATTTCTAATCTGCCAGTACATTCTTCACAAGCAATATCTCGGGCATACAAATTTAAATACAGGGGACGAAGTAAGTCGTGTCCCTAACCTTTTTCCTGATTAGGCGTCAATCAACAAAACCTAAAACACGTGGTAAACACGTGTAAACACGTGGTAAACACTAAGGTTGACTAGTGAGGTACTGGGGTTAGCTTGCTCGCTCTTCGGCCGCTCCATACGGTTCACCTTTGAACTCTTTTGTTTGTGAGATCATCTCTTGCTCAGGATCAGCATCTGCGAAGATAACATTAACAGCGGTTTTTAGCCTATAAAATGATTACTGTATAAAATTGTAACTGAGTCTGAACTTGAGTAAAACAGACCAGATAATGTTGCAGATATGAAAGATTTACCAGGTCAGCTCCGGTAAATTACACCATACATGATGATTGGTGATGCTCATAAATAATTACCTGGGGACCCCAGGCTATTATATTTATGTTCATAATCTCCGAATGGAGATTTGGCGCCGCCCAGTAAATAAATAACCAAAGTTTTAGCTTACGTTCAGTAACCCCGATCTTCTCCAAGATGGGAGAAGCAGCAGTGATGACGTCCCTGACGATGAGGTTGATGTAGAGGGCCAGGGGAGCGAGACAGAGTATGACTATCAGCAGGGTGAAACACACCTGGGTACAGGGTTAGTTATAAAAGATGTTTTTTTCAGTAAGGGATCATTTTTTAGATTTGGGCTATTTCAGACCCTACTTGCCTCTCCTAAATCAGTTTGCTTATACTGTTAAATCAATTAAAATTAAATGGTTGAATTAATTAAAATCATTAAATCAAACTATTTCTAAAGCCCCTCCCCAAACTATTCGCATAAGTCTCATAGTAATTTAGAAGTTATCAGTATGGAATTTCTCGCAAAAGAAGACAAAAATGTTGCACATCGCTTCTTCAGCTGAGGTCACAGTTCACAAGTAATTATACCTTGGCGATGTTGGCATTGTCCCCATTGTAGAATCCGTGATTACCAAAGCCAATAGTTGTAAAACTCACAAACGCAAAATAAAACGAGTCCCAGTAAGTCATCTCCCTGAAAATTTTAATATTTTATTTGTCAGGTACATAAATGTGTTTTGTGGCGTAACATACCTAGATATCATTCAGAGTGGAAAATTTTCGGACTGGAATTTTCTGTCCTTGTTCCGAACCGAACCAACTTCAATGTTCGTCTAACCAAATCAAACTAAACCGAAATATTTAGTGAGCATCGAATAACTCACTTGTCCAGACCATATTTGATCCACAAACTGAATATGATGAGTTCGATGAGGACTAGCCCAGCACTGGACAACAACACCGCTATCATTATCCTCTTCTTGTTCCTGGAATGATTGAATAATTAGTTAATTAATAATTAATTAATTATGTTTTCTGGTAATTAAATCTCAACTATCTCTCATTAACTGGAAGTGTCAGGTGTACAGTACACTGTACACTCCTGATCAGCCATGTCAGGATGATGACTTTCTTGCTAGTTTAGCCTCTCCCTTTCTTTTCCAGCCTGAGCGGGTCCTGGTAGTGGCATCATTTCTGGACTAACCAGTCACTTTTAAAACGTCGTTTAAATCGGTGATCCTCTCTGAATGTGCAGTGGAATTTTATCACGGTCATTACTCAATCATCGGCAAGTTACCACAAATGGGATGTTCTCATTTTCTGTTTGTTGATTATGAGCGGTCAATGATCGGTCAAAATTCAAAAAGCGCTAGATCAAAATGATCGCTTATAACCGGCTTGAATCTTTGGTTAAATATTCCACTTATATTATACATTTATCACATGCCTTCTCATGCGATATCAAAACTTTCGCCCACGAGGCTTGCCGAGTTAGCGAAAGTTTCGATATTTCCCGAGGCTTGCCGAGGGTTATATCGACATTTTCAATCACGAGGCTTGCCGAGTTTTGAAAATGTTGATATCGCATGAGAAGGCATTATACACTACACTCCCTAATTTACATCAACAATATTATCGTCCGTCTTGATTCTTGATTGTCTGTTATTTCAGAATGATTTAATCAATGCAACTTGTAATCGTTGACTTAGAATTTTATCAAGTATTCTGCTTAGTTCTTAGTCAGTGTTCATCTTTACTTGCCATTATTTGCCATTATCTGCTTCGAGCTAGAAATTATCTGAACTGGAAATTATCAGAACATTTGTAATATTCAAATGTATCTCTTCAACATTTTAGAACGCAGTACTCCACCAGCCTATAACCACCCTGGTCATGGCCAGGTAGTTCACCCGTACTGTTACCAATATTGAATTGGTCTAATGAATGGCAGCACATTAATCATCGGACCTGTTTGCCCCAGTGCCCAGACTAATTTATAACCAGATTAGCTGATTAAGTTACGTCATTCGTCCCTCGATATATTTATATAAATAATATATTTTATAGGATGTTTTTATTGCACTTATTTGCACTAACTAAAATTCAGTTAAAACTAGTCCTGGGATAGAATTTCCGCTCTTAATTGTACAGAATCTACATATAAGTCTCTTTATCAGTCTGTTTATAGATCAGCTACGAATTTCGCAAGCTAATCTAGGCGAAACCGGTTTGGAAAAGCCAAGTATAATTTCTGCACAATTTCTATTTGGAATATGGCTCAAAGAAGGGATCAGAGGGGTTTAAAATTGAGGTCTGAAATGGCTGAAATCTGGCTTTGTTTTGTGTGTTTTCTTCGTTCGAATTAATCAAACATCGTCTAGTGTTTACTATTTTTTGTGAGGGTGACTGTAGTTTGTTCTGACACTTCCTTTTTAATTTCAAGTAAGCGATTAAGGAAATTAATTATCCTGATTGATTGTATCGCTGACAAGTACCAAAACTTTGTGAAACTTTCAAGTCTGCTTGTAAACTTTGATCTCGTTTTCAATAACCTTAAGTCACTTAAAGCTCGTACAAGCCAGGGAGTTTTTACTTTGTTTCATCATCCGAAGCCTAATTAGGCTTTGAACTATAAAGTGCAGTAAAAAAGCAACAGCTTGAAAAAGTTTTACAACAAAAAATTGTATTTTGCTTAACACATGTCAAACGCAAGGAAATGTTTTTAAAACAAGGTATAAATATATATTTTTCCTGAATCTGGAAAGTTTATCTGATCATTGCATTTACGGTCACAGACTACTTCAGGTTGTTGATTTAAATCTTTATTTAAATCAGTACCTCACAGTAGTAGAACAGTTGTTGAGAGGGGGTTCCTTGTTCCTATGGGAATATCGGACTCTCTCTGAGCAACTGATTCATATTTCATGCCCCCGGGTGAGAGCCAGTGCTCCCCATCGGGGCATGTAATATCAATTCTGCTTTCCTGCCAAATTTGGCTCGAAAGTGTGATAATATAAGTTATAATCGCTTATAATTTTATATTTGCGATTTTTATAAGCGTTGTAATCGTTTATGGTCGTTTATTTAATCGTTTATCGTCACCAACCCTATTTGGAATTTATTAGGCGTTTATAAGCGGTTTTTGGGCTTTTCTGTTATGAAATATCGATTACAATCGATTATAATCGACTACTTAAAAACCGCTCATATGCGATATATAAGCGTTACTTACTGTTAATATTATAAACAGTAAGTATAAGCGTTTATAAAAAGTGCATTTTCAAGAAAAGCGCCCCTGACTGCTCCCTCAGCGATTATAATCAACAATCAGGAAATCCCATTTGTGGTAACTTGTCCAATCATTTTACACTTAACTTGAACGTGAGACAGTGAGATGTTTGGGCTAATGAATAACAATGACAAAGTCTGCTTCTTATTCGTTTATAACCATGATATGAGTAATACCAAGCTATTAATCTTATACAGATGACTTTGCAGGCGGTAAACTGCTATAACTCATTCGAGGATTCCGTCGCCGAAATTTGTGAATTATAGTGACGAAATTACTAAACAATTTGTGTATTTCGTTAGCAATTGATTGGTATCAATAATGCAATATAGCGTGCTGCAAAATCGCAATTGGGATCACGATTTAGTGCCGATCTTTCAACCCAATCACCTGATCCCGCGTAATGGATGGAGTTCCCATATTTTCAGGACAAGTGTATTTTAAAAGGCCAAAGTCTTATAAGGATACAAGGATACAAGGATACAAGGATACAAGGATACAAAAGTGATAATTATTTTATTGAATTCACAATAGTTATAATTCTGAAATAATTTAAGGTTACACAATTCTAGTTATTTACAGATGTGTAGGGATAAAATAGAAATGTTTTATAATACTATTTTTGAGGTCCTATAGCATTATGCATTGGCCAGTATTTGAGTGGAAATCTGGGCTCTTATAGTAGGCTGTAAAATTTTCGTTCACAGAGAGAATTGAATGGATTGCTCTTGCTGTGGCAGTAAATTTTGTAGGGTCTAGTGTTTTATCGGATAGCAAACCGGCTAGGTCAGTAATATTTTTGGGATGGAAGTTAAATTTTTCTCTAACTGAGGAGTAGAGTAAACAGTCAGTTAGAACATGAATTTCGTCCTCAATAGGCTTAAGCCCCTTGCTGAAAAAGCAAAAAGTGCACCATCGATGTTCTCTTGGTACTAGGGGGGTTTCGTAACGGCCCCTCTCAATGTAAAGATTGTGGCAACTAATACGAAACCTTGTTAAGCTTTTCCGAGCATCGGGGATCTTAACCACTCCTAAGTATGTTTCTGGTTCAAAATCATGTTTAATTTGATTGTAGAATTCTAATTTAGGTGAGGATGCCTTGGCAGATTTCCAGGTATCCACAAATTCTTCCCTCATGTTGTGACTGATTTGGGTAGAGAGCTTGGATTTTGAAGAGGATGAGTGGGGGAAGTTATATTTGGTGAGAAGATTAGAGATGTTGGTGTACCAAGGAAGGCCCAGCATAATCTGCTCGTGAAATGCAGCGGAGAGAAGTTCATTTTCAGTGCTTTCAAGGCGAGTATAGAAATCTATTGCAAGTTTGCAGGCTTCAAAGAAGAGGGGGTGGCGCCCACTTTCGCCCCAGCAGCCTATATTTGATGCTTTTGAATGGACAGACAAAGACCACTTGATAAACTTAAGGTGGAATCTTTCATAGTGGTCTTGTGAGATGTACCTGAGAGTATGCTGGGGGTTGGCTTTGCTATCTGTTTTGGAGAGGTATCTCATGGTTTTTGAGTGAGGACATGAGATTTGGCAGCCATAGAGCAGTATCGGTTTTATTAGAGAGTCAAATAGAATGTTTAGAGAACGGTGAGAGAGGGCATCTTTGACGATATTGCCTTTGAGGCCATAGAGAGCACGGAGAGCCTTGGCCCTCAGTTCAGTATTTGCTGCTGTAAAAGATCCATTTCTGTGGAATATAATGCCAAGATAGCAGTATTTTTCGGTGTGTTGGATGGGCTGGCCTCCCAAAATGAATGTTTCATAGGATTGTTTTCTTTTAGGAGGGCAGAATATGAGAATCTTGGTTTTTTTAATGTTTACTTCAAGGCCCATAGAGTTACAGAAGTCGAATAGGATGTTTATATTGTCTTGCAAGGCCTTGGGACTTAGGGCAAGTAGGACAAGATCGTCAGCCCAGAGCAGATGTGATATTAGGACGTCAGCTAGAATAGGATAATCACCAACAGATTTCAGGAGAGATGACAAGTCGTTGATATAGATTTTAAAAAGGTCCGGTGATAGAGGGTGTCCCTGCTCTGTTCCTTTTCCAATGTCAATATTAGGGGACAAGAGTTTGGAGATTTTTATATGAGCTATTGAGTTTCTATACATATCACTTAGGCAATTGAAGAAGTTTCCAGTTATTCCAAGGCATGTTATTTTGTGCAGAGGAGGTCCCTACATACAGTGTCAAAGGCCTTTCTTAGATCAACAAAGCATGCATAGAGGCGAGCTTTCTTAACCTTGGTATATTTGTCAATGACTGTCTTAAGGGTAAAAACGTGGTCATTTGTTATAATGCATTACATTTTGAATCGATCCAATCATTTAAAATATTCAAAACCCGCGAAACGGTACGTTCATTCGAAAAAAGAGAACGTCGTATTATTTGATTTGATTTATTTCTCGAATGAGTGATAATAGCATAATGGTGGTCAGCCAGGTTATCACTATCAGGGAGGCCAGCTTTCGCACCGTCCGATGATTTATGTTTTGGCGGCCCTTAAACTGCTGCAAACCTACTACCAATGGCAATATGCAACACACCTACAATTACAAACTCATCCAGGTACGGACAGTGGTACAGACACGGTGAGTGTGGGTGTCACTAAGTTTATAAATATGTTTTACTACTCGGATAAGAGTACGAGCGTGGGTGTCACTAAGTTTATAACTATGTTTTACTACTCGGATAAGAGTACGAGTGTGGGTGTCACTAAGTTTATAAATATGTTTTACTACTCGGATAAGAGTACGAGCGTGGGTGTCACTAAGTTTATAACTATGTTTTACTACTCGGATAAGAGTACGAGTGTGGGTGTCACTAAGTTTATAACTATGTTTTACTACTCGGATAAGAGTACGAGTGTGGGTGTCACTAAGTTTATAACTATGTTTTACTACTCGGATAAGAGTACGAGTGTGGGTGTCACTAAGTTTATAACTATGTTTTACTACTCGGATAAGAGTACGAGCGTGGGTGTCACTAAGTTTATAACTATGTTTTACTACTCGGATAAGAGTACGAGCGTGGGTGTCACTAAGTTTATAACTATGTTTTACTACTCGGATAAGAGTACGAGTGTGGGTGTCACTAAGTTTATAACTATGTTTTACTACTCGGATAAGAGTACGAGACCTCATGTAATGCGTGGCCGTGGCAGTATGTGTGTACAATATCAGACACACATGACCGAGTACCATGCGGCGCCTTTACCACCATCCCCTCCTTGTACATGGCATGTAATGGCATGTAAATGGCATGTTAAGCAGGTTGCTACACAGTATAACTATAACACGCAATTTATACATACTTGAGATTCAGCGTACTAGCGAGCCTTTCATTATTAATCTGCATGTTCTAGATTCCTGGTTTTGTAAATAATTGGCACCACAATGAATATTATAATCTGCTATATATATATATTTAACAGGACCACCCTCCCAAGTTCTGTAATAGTGATACTTTGAACACTATAATTAATTAATTAATTAATTATAATTATACTATACACAAGAATACAATAATACAACCGTCTAGTATTAAATATTGATACTGTTACACGACTGACAGATTGAGTGGTTACCAAAGATCATCAGCCACAAACTTAAGAATAAAGTGATAACAACTACCTGTCCCGTAAAGGGAAGTTGAAGACGTATTCCACAGATTGAGCCAGTAGAGCGCCCAGATAAGCTATGAAAAGGAAACATAGTGGTATTCCAATCAGAGCAAATACCAGGAGGAACACTTGGCCTCCTGTCGTTACAGGGTAGATGTTACCGTAACCTGGAGGTTAAATGATAGATGTTATTTCCTTCCCCCAAATGGGGCTTAACGTACATACATGGTAATTGGTAAAACGTGCAATAGACAATGGGATCTGAGGGCTCAAACCCTGTTATGCCGGAAGGGGGCTTGGTTCGAAAAGTTGGGTTATTTTTGATATGTATTTTGAAATGTAATAATTTATCTATAATTTAAAACAAAACTCGAACTGTTTGACCTTTTGTTAGATTTTAAGGGCCATTCAAAATTTGGACACGAGTCTTGAGACACCCTGTACTGTACACAAACAAAACCTCGATTTATACCGCAAACCCCGATTTACCGCGACTGTTTCCTTTCCCCAAACTCCACGGTAAATCGGGGTTTTACTGTCCTTATAACCCGTTACAACGTACCTATAGTAGTAACGGTGCAGCCCCCTGCCCCCTGCCCCCTGGTTACCACGTACCTATAGTAGTGACGGTGCAGCCCCCCTGGCCCCCCTGCCCCCTGCCCCCCCCCCCCCCCCCCTGATTACCACGTACCTATAGTAGTGACGGTGCAGCCCCCTGGCCCCCCTGCCCCCTGGTTACCACGTACCTATAGTAGTGACGGTGCAGCCCCCCTGGCCCCCCTGCCCCCCCCCCCCCCCCTGCCCCCCTGGTTACCACGTACCTATAGTAGTGACCCTGCAGCCCCCCTGCCCCCCCTGGTTACCACGTACCTATAGTAGTGACCCTGCAGCCCCCCTGCCCCCTGGTTACCACGTACCTATAGTAGTGACCCTGCAGCCCCCTGCCCCCCCCTGCCCCCCTGGTTACCACGTACCTATAGTAGTGACCCTGCAGCCCCCCTGCAGCCCCCCTGCCCCCCCTGGTTACCACGTACCTATAGTAGTGACCCTGCAGCCCCCTGCCCCCCCCTGCCCCCCTGGTTACCACGTACCTATAGTAGTGACCCTGCAGCCCCCTGCCCCCCCCCCCCTGCCCCCTGGTTACCACGTACCTATAGTAGTGACCCTGCAGCCCCCCTGCCCCCCTGGTTACCACGTACCTATAGTAGTGACCCTGCAGCCCCCCTGCAGCCCCCCCTGCCCCCCCCCTGGTTACCACGTACCTATAGTAGTGACGGTGCAGCCCCCTGCCCCTGCCCCCTGCCCCCCCTGCCCCTGGTTACCACGTACCTATAGTAGTGACGGTGCAACCCCCCTGCCCCCCTGGTTACCACGTACCTATAGTAGTGACGGTGCAGCCCCCCTGCAGCCCCCTGTCCCCCTGGTTACCACGTACCTATAGTAGTGACAGTGCAGCCCCCCTGGCCCCCCTGCCCCCCTGCCCCCCCTGCCCCCTGCCCCCCCCCCCCTGATTACCACGTACCTATAGTAGTGACCCTGCAGCCCCCCTGGCCCCCTGCTCCCCCTGGTTACCACGTACCTATAGTAGTGACGGTGCAGCCCCCTGGCCCCCTGCCCCCCCTGCCCCCCCCCCCCCCCTGCCACCCCTCCCCTGGTTACCACGTACCTATAGTAGTGACAGTGCAGCCCCCCTGGCCCCCTGCCCCCCCTGCCCCCCCCCCCCCCCCCTGCCACCCCTCCCCTGGTTACCACGTACTTATAGTAGTGACGGTGCAGCCCCCTGGCCCCCTGCCCCCCCTGCCCCCCCCCCCCCCCTGCCACCCCTCCCCTGGTTACCACGTACCTATAGTAGTGACCCTGCAGCCCCCTGCCCCCCCCCCCCTGCCCCCCCTGGTTACCACGTACCTATAGTAGTGACGGTGCAGCCCCCTGGCCCCCCTGCCCCCCCCCTGCCCCCCCCCCCTGCCACCCCTCCCCTGGTTACCACGTACCTATAGTAGTGACGGTGCAGCCCCCCTGCAGCCCCCTGCCCCCCTGGTTACCACGTACCTATAGTAGTGACGGTGCAGCCCCCTGGCCCCCCTGCCCCCCCTGCCCCCCCCCTGCCACCCCTCCCCTGGTTACCACGTACCTATAGTAGTGACGGTGCAGCCCCCTGGCCCCCCTGCCCCCCCCTGCCCCCCCCCCTGCCACCCCTCCCCTGGTTACCACGTACCTATAGTAGTGACGGTGCTAACGGAGACATACAACCCTCCTGTAAAACTCCACGCTTCTTTACGTCCCTCATATATGTAGGGGTTAGCTGAAATAGAGGCAGAGTATAGTTCATGAGCTTAGTTCATGAGTGAATGGCGGTGAATTACATTAGTAAAAGAGAGCCTGACTGAAGACTGGACCGTTGTAATATGTTACACACATAAAAGTTCACAAAAATTTTAATTGCGTTTACCTTAAAATGTATTTACACACAAGACGAAGGATGCTACAATCTTACTAAAAAAGATTCAAAAAGGTTTTTATGTTTTAAGAAGATCAAAAGTATCGCACAAAACTAATTTTCGTCAGCGAGTGCTCTGACAAAACTAATCTTCGTCAGCGAGTGCTCTGACAAAACTAACCTTCGTCAGCAAGTGCTCTGACAAAACTAACCTTCCTCAGCGAGTGCTCTGACAAAACTAATCTTCGTCAGCGAGTGCTCTGACAAAACTAACCTTCGTCAGCGAGTGCTCTGACAAAACTAACCTTCGTCAGCGAGTGCTCTGACCAAGACTGTCAGATCTTCAGAATACTCCGAGAAGTTTTTAGAAGGTTCCAGAATTTCCCGAACAAAACCCTCTAACTGTGGAGGTGTTCGGTTAATAGATATACTACACTTTTAAAATTGTGGTTAAATAATAAATATACCACACTTACTGAAATGTGGAAATTGAATGAAAGAGTTACCTTATCCTTGCCCTCCTGCCATCTCTGCTGCTCGGTGTCGTACTCCAGAGCAGAGAAGCACACAGAACCAATACAGAGATAGCCCATCAAGGTGAAGAGTAGGAGGGCTAGCACGGCTACCCGGTTCAGAATGTCTCGAGAGGACGATATCGGGGCATACTGGTCGACTGAAACAAGGGGAGCGTTAGTATGCAGTTAGTAGATCCAAGATCAGTCAAGTTTAGGACTTTAGGAGTGATAAGAACAAGCGTTCTGATCTCCAAAATACTATTATGAAGCACCTCTATTACTGAGTTGCTAGTATTTACTGATATCAAAAACTGTCAACCGATGAAATTCCGTAAATGTACATTCTACTGATTTTTACCGCTTGAATTTTTGCAGATAAAATGAAAATTGCGTGAGAACGAAATATATTTACCTGAATGAATCAACATCTCAAACAAATTATGATTTTAGGATCAATTGTCTGAATCGATCGAGAGCTACTACAAACAGTAAACGATTGATTGTTCACAGTGAAGTGATTATAATCCTCTTAGTTTCCCAAACGTGAACTACAGTCAGTCAATAATTAACAAGTTATTAACTAAACCGAGATTGCCCAGAAACCGAGTATATCAGGTCCAAATTAACCCTGACCCGCTCCACAAGTACGGTAATCAGCACAAATGACGAGCTACAATCTATGGATTACCCCGAGCGGCCCGAATGTAAGGCTGGGGTGCAGGTGTGATCACAGAGATATGGCACGTGGACCTCGCTACGACCGCCCAGAGAGAGAGAGAGCCAGAGAGAGCAATCTATCATTGGGAGGACACTAATTACTAGGTACAAAGTAGACCTGGAGCACCAGCTCGACACAGCTCATTCCTAATTGCTTAAACTCTTCCCGGAGTAAGAATTATAATGGTGATTGCCTGTTGTAGCTCGACAGGGTACGTGCGCTATACGCCAGCTAGTTAGTACGTCACTCCACTGCATATCCTTTGTGTATGCATGCAAACGGCAGCAAGGGACTGGTCCGTTCTGGATTAATTATTGGGGTATCTTGGTTTGTAAAAGTTAGGGCATTTAGGCGGTCCAGTAGACAGTACAAAGAAGAGAAGATATAATGGCCCGTATGATACGATGGCAAGCAACAAGGATGATTGAAGGATGTTGTTACAGGGACACACGCAGAGGATAGTGTTTAGTATCAATATTCCGTAAGTTTGAAAAGTGGTCTTAAATAGGTTGAGGAACTACTGAATTGGCTGGGGGAGACAGTTTATCTCCCAATTGACGGTAATTAATCACATAATCAATATGATTGTATTCGTGCAGTGGATCCACCAAAATTTACGACTCAGACCGCAGATTGGAGAAGCAAGTTCTAGAAATACTGACTGCGAGCAGGGGTTTAACTCAAGAAAATTTGGGTTATTCCGGTGGATTATCCCAATTAATGACTGGTTATCCTTACAGCTATCTGACCGGTAAGGCATAATGCCGGGCAGTCATCTCGGTTTTTAACCTGAACTTGGGCCAGTCCGCACGATCAGCTAGTAATATCTTATTCTTGGGAATGATATTGTCAGGTTTGCTGGAGATTGCCAAGTATTATAATAGCACGACTGGACCATCAGCTGACCAATCATCCAGATTCCAGCTATTATTATGATTGAAGTGTACTCCACTCTCCGGGATGTTACACCGAGATGCTGTCAATATGACCTGACAGCCAGGAAACACGTCAACTTAATGCTGGCTGTTTTGTGTGGGGGTAAGTACAGATCAGTGGCGAGGGCATATAGTTGGCCGATCAGTGATCAGTGGTGAGCTGGAGATAGTGTTACCTGGTGTATGGGTTGTCTTTGTGTTGACCATGGTTGGGTGGTGAAACTCGTTACTTTATAATATGGTGCTGTGTTGGTGGACCATATGCAGGGACAAAAGGAAATCGCGGCATGTACAAAATCGCGATTTTTCCCATTTTTTTGCGACAAATTTTACATGTCTTGCGGAATCAATCGCGGTAAAAATCGCAGTACGGGTATTTGCCTCCCAGAATGGCCAAAAAAAAGGAAGGTCTCTCAAAGTCACAAAACACACTTTATTCCAGTTTTTATCTCATAAGAAGCTAAGTTGACACTCATATTTTTCTTCCCGGGGGTTCATTTAATCTCATAACCATTTTTTCTTTGAGAAAAATTGGCCGGAAAATCTTCCTCGAAAAAAACATGCCTCACAGAATGGCCAAATCTGAATTTCTATAATTTTGTTGATGGAGATACTTTTTAAATTTCTATCACCACACGTTCTTAGAAAGCCTATTAAGGAATGGGGTAATAACCTAAAACTCACGAAAAAACTGAGCTGTGAAAAATTATTTCACAAAAAAGAAAAAATGCCTGACAAAATGGCAAAAAAAAAAAGAAAACGAGAAAATTTTATTTTTCTAAAACCTTTGGCTCTTGTTTCAGGCATGCTGCTGGTATTAATATGCCTTGTTAACACCCCCATATAGGTAAAATTTCTTAGAACTGAATAAAAAGGGCATAATTTCCTACACCAAAAATGGCCATTTTGTGTGGCGTTGTTCATATTCCCTGATTTCATGATTTATAACCTTCATTCGGCTGTAAAAACACTCCATCTGGGGTGTTATTGTATAATAAATAGCTTTTGAATACTTTAGACTTATGGTTTCATTGAATAAAAGGAGTTTTAAATTTTGGCCATTTTGTGAGGCATATTTTGGCCATTTTGTGAGGCGTTCAGCCATTTTAACATTTTGTTTCTTCCTAAATTGAACAATGTTCGTTTTTTTTGATGAATACTAAAATACTATCTTCTGTCATACTGGTGCCAGAAGTTCTCACCAAAATGCAAACTTAGTTCAAAAATTTGAAAACAAATTTTGTGAGGCATATTTTGGCCATTTTGTGAGGCGTGTAGCCATTTTAAAACAATGTTCGTTTTTTTTGATGAATACTATTCTTTGAACATCTGTCATACTGGTGCCAGAAGTTCTCACCAAAATGTAAACTTAGTTCAAAAATTTGAAAACAAATTTTTCAGTGCTCAAAATTTCTACATAAACAGTCATATTTATGCCAGAAAATGTGGTCCTACCTTACAAGACATTTTTGTGGCGGACCAATTTGCGACGACCGAAATTTTGGCGGTCCGAAAATATGGCGAAATTGAACAAAAACCGTCACATTTCGGACGTCACAGAAAATAAGGGTATTTTTCATCATTTTGTTTTCTGACACAAAGCTAAAGGAAATTCAAACTTTTCTCAAAATCGGTAAAATCATGTTGAAACAAAATGAAACTTATAAATCGATTTCTTCATCTTCCTCTAAGGGGTCCGGCTCGACTCTTTCAGTTTCACTTATTGAGTTTGGTATTAAATTGTTTATCTTGACTTGTACCTTCATTCACTGAAGGATTCCTTACCCCACTGCAAAAACCTGGTAAGCCACGTGGACCTTTAAAAAGTCTGCGCCCTCTTTGTCTTTTAAACGGCACCAGGAAGATATTGTCCATGATAGTCCTTAGACGCATTCGAAGACAAGTTTCTCAGTACACAGGACCTTGGCAAAATGCCTACAAGCCTGGCCATAGCTGTGCAAATATTGTTTGGACACAACGGATCCTAGTTTCAGTTGTGAAGGAGAAACGCTGGTCTCTACACAAAATGGGTATTGATATGTCATCTGCATTCGACACCATTAAGAGATCAGTTTTGCTAGAACTTCTTGCTGATGCTGGTTGTAGTGAAAACGACATCCGACTGGTAAGGTACCTACTCTCATGTACCAAACTGAAGATTAAAGTGAGGTCTACCGTATCAGGGGAGTTCATTGTCACGATAGGTGCGTTCCAAGGTGATAGTTTGTCTGGAAACCTTTTCACCCTGTATTTGGCTGGCGCACTTTATCACCTTCGTGCCTTTATGTCTTATCTAAGACCCAACCCTCCGTTTGCTGAAAACGTGCTACCTCTTGAGTGGGAGTACGCAGACGACGCAGACTTCACAGACGAGGATAAAAAGAATTTGGAGTCCATGTTACCAATATGCAAGGAGATATTGGAGGAGTGGAATCTTTTTGTCAACGAATCAAATACAGAATTCACACATATCTATCTGGCCGAGAAGAACGAAGTTGATGACAAAGGAGAGCCACTTCGAGGAAGAGAGCCCTGGAGATCATCTATCTCACTTGGTTCCAAATTGTGCAGCAACGAGGACATAAAAAGACGATGTATTCTGGCAAATCTTGCTTTCCAAACCTACAAGAAAGTTTGGGAACAAGGTAAACGCATACCTCTTAAGACCAGACTTAAGATCTACGAAGCCCAGGTGGTCTCCGTCTTAATGTATAATTGTAGCTGCTGGGCTGCTTCAAAGCAGCTACTGAGTAAACTGGATATTTGCCACAGAAAGCATCTGAGGCAAATCATCAGAATGACTTACCCTAATATAATCAAAAACGACACCCTTTACAAGAGATGTGAAGTGGTTCCACTCAGTGAGCGTGTTGCATGTGCACGATGGAGGATGCTCGGACATGTCCTTCGCAGTGATAACAACTCACCTGCACAGCTTGCATTACACTTTGCAGTAGAGAGTCAGAGTACCAAAAAGGGTAGAGTAGGCAGACACCAGTCGAACTTGCTTAAGACTATTAAATTTGATTTAGGTAGTAGGAACATTCCATTTGTAAATACAGACGATTTGTACAATTTAAGACTTTTAGCCTCTGATAGAGCGGGATGGAAGAAGTTGTTATAGCTTGTGTATCAGTATTTCTTTTTTTCTGGCTACTTATCAGATCTTTAAGATGTTCATTTATGTTCTATTTTTGATTTGAATAAAGTTATATAATAAAGTTATATAATATCTTGACTTAGTCTCTTATAAGACGTTTATGTTAGCACATAAATGTAATTTATTGTAAATTTAAAACGTATTACTTGACATTAAATTCATCATGGAATATTGTGTTTATTTGTCCCACCATCATATCACCAACTTTTCAAGAACAAAATGAATCGATGAAGCCACAATTATTGGAATAAGCTAAAAATAATGCGACGGATTCTATTACGACGACCGAAATTTTGGCAGTCCGAAAATATGGCGAAATTTCGGGAAAACCGTCGCATTTCGTAC